AACAGTAGTGTAAAGAACTGAAATGCAGCGTTAACAGTGATTTGTTATAATAGTTCATAAATAAAATGTCCATATTTCACGGTCTCCTAGTTAATAAACCAATACAAAAATGTAATGATGAAGTGTGACAGCGTCTGGTAAAGCGATATATTACCATCTATGTTAAAGTGTGCATCGCATGCATGCCATTGTTAACGAGCATCAACATTTACGCTTGAAGTGCGCGAGATATCTTGTGCCCGCATTTCTGCTCAAGAATGTTTTTCATACAAACTTCTTTAATACTTGAAGCCCTTTCTATGTTGCAAACGTAATGTGAACGCGCGTATCAAGCTGCATAGCTGAATAATTTGCGCTCACACATTCTGCCCATCCATTCATTTATTCATTTATTCAACCAGTCGTGTTCTATTACCGTGCCGCTACGAAATCACTCGCTACCTCTATCAATCACACTATCACGCCAATCGGCTTATCCCAGTTAAAAGACATTCGTTAAACCTGGAATCAAACGAAACATGCACGCACGAACGCACACACGCCCACACATATACATACACTCACACTCACACACAACACACACACCCACAAAACACACACTCATACACAACACACACACCCACACAACACACACTTGATCTCACGCTTGCCCAATCGTAATGTACATATAATACCCACCACAGATAATCACACGCACCTTTACAAAAACTTAACAACATTTACAGGCGTTCGCATATAGACACAAAATAATATGTTGACACACATATAAGCAGACACAAACACTCACACAAAGATACTCACACACATACGTACATACGCATGCAGACACGCCAAAACACACGTTGACTCGCATTATATACTTTTGTTGTCACCATTTTCATTTTACTATGAATCTTATTTAACGTGTTATTTTTATTATTTTTAAACGTGAAAAAGTTTCTAGTTTAAAAACTCTAATGATTTGTTAAGAGTTGTAGAAACATACATTGGTATTATCAGCATACTTTGCTTTGAACATGCCTTCAACTCAGATATATGACTAGGTACACAGTACACACACACACACACACACACACACACACACCACACACACACACACACACACACACCACACGCACACACATACACACACATACATACACACACACATACACAAAGACTTAATAAAGCAGACTTACACGCGGACAACCGCGCATAAAAATTATTTCACGTTAGTAAAAATTTTGAAGGCGAACGCGAAAAGAGCAAACAGACTGTTGTGCACTGGAATGATGAAGATGAAGAAGATGATGAAGATGACGAAAAGGATGATGATGATGATGGTGATGATGGAAAATAAATTAGGAATGATAATGACGATGATTGAGGTAAGATTGGTGTGGTGGTGATGATAATTATGATAGATAATTGAGTTTAGGTTGGTGTGATGATGAAGATTATAAAAAAAATTATGAGACAAATATCTAGGAAGAATAAGATGACAGTTCCAGATAATCAAGGTTTTGATGATGATGATGATGAAAGGAATGGTGGAGATGGATGAGATGATGAAAAGGACTGCGATGATGTTAGGAGGAAAAAGAAAAAGGAGGAGGAACTATGGGATGGCCTGCGAATGCAAATGAAAGAACTCGCAGATAGGAAAACACATTCCCGCATTAATTAATGGAAACAAGTCAGTACCATCTAAACATACATGCAGTAGAAAAGTTAAAAACAATACAAAAAAAATTAGAAAAGAAATGAAAAGAAAAAAAAGTTACTTAGTCTGAGTGGTTGAAAGGACGTGGAATGGTTATAATGAAGAAATTTCAGAACAACAAAGGTAAGTAGAAAGTTTTATTGAAAAAGTAAAGAAACAAAGAAGAATATAAAATAACGATGATTGTAAGAGAGAGAGAGAGAGAGAGAGAGAGAGAGAGAGAGAGAGAGAAAGAGAGAGAGAGAGAAAGAGAGAGAGAGAGAGAGAGAGAGAGAGAGAGAGAGAGAAAGAGATTGGAAGATGCGTCAATGTAATGGCACGCTGTGTTTCATGTATTAACGTAGCAAACATTTAAAACAATGTAAGCAGCTTCAATAAAGCACGATAAATATCTATAGCTCGTAAAGAGGAATATTTTATGCGAGCGCGTGTGCGTTTGCTTCCATTTTCGCTTCTTTCTCTTCCTAACTTTTTTTATTTCCAACTGTAAACTTTTTGTTATTCCTTCTTCTCAGCGCAATATTTCTCAGGTTATTTTTTTTTCATTTTTTTCAATCGTGATTTGCCAATACATTCGTTGATGCTTCATCTGCGTTTGAAGAATCTACTGCTGCCTTTTATCCAATTTCTGTAAACGCTTGTGTGTGCATGCTTGTTTGTGTGTGCATGCGTGTTTGTGTGTGTATGCTTGTCTGTGTGTGCATGTTTGTTTGTGTGTGCATGCTTGTTTGTGTGTGCAGTGCATGTTTGTTTGTGCGCAGCGCATACGTATTTGTGTAAAAATGTTTATCTGCCTGTGTGAATATGTGTATATGTGAAATGTACGTTGTGCCTGTGTTATATGCAAATTACAAATATAAAATTTTTTGAACCTTTTCTATTGATATTTTTTCTATTTTTGGCATCAATTTAATGTTTTGTCTTGTTTGTTTTTGTGCTATCTTCAAACTTTTCCACTTTTCTACATTCAGTTTTGTATTTTTCAGTTTTTTCCTCTTCGCTCTCTTCCTCTGCTTCACGTACGTGCACAAGTTTGTCTGACGGTGGTGAATATGCAATGGACGACGACATCATTTTATTTTTCTTCATCTTCTTCGTCTTTTTGTAGCGCTGATTAAAAGGATCTTGCAAAAAAAGAAAACTTAGTTTCTTTTGTAAAGATGCTGATTGTGTTGTCAATATTAATGAACTCGTCAATATGCTGATGTACATGTTATTTATGCTAAAAAATTCTTCTTTTTGATTTACACTGAATTTCTTTTTTTAAATATCAGGTTATGACAAATTGCTTTTAAACTTTGTTATACTTCAATTGACAAATAAGTAAATATAAATAAACTTTTAACCTGTAATAAATTTATAAAAAAAAAATTTATATTAAACCAAAAAGTTGTTCTTATTGCGTTATTTTAAAATATTATTGAGCCAAAAACTTATTAAGTTTTTGACTGTCTTTCATTCATAGTAACAAAATATTTGAGAGCGACAGCATGGCAATCCTTCAGCCTAGCTGGAAGAAACGCCTTGTTATTTCCATTATGTGCATGGTTTTCTTTTTATAAAATTTAAAATATACTACGTAGAAATTTATATTAAAATATGAATGTAATGTGAGTTATGCCTGCCTATGAAGATTTTTACTATGTTTGTGTGTGTGTGTGTGTGTGTGTGTGTGTGTGTGTGTGTGTGTGTGTGTGTGTGTGTGTGTGTAAGACAGACTATACTATACATCTAACCGTACTAAAAATGTTTAATTGGAGTACAGCAACTATTATGAAGTTGTTGTGTCTTGATTGCCATGCAGTTGTGGAATGCAATGAAGGTATGTATCACTAAGAGATATGTATGAATATGTCGAGAGACAGATTGAGAGACAGATTGAGAGACAGACAGACAGACCGACAGAAAGACAGATAAATAGACAGATAATCATTTTTTAGTCTTTAATGTTCATTTTAACTAATATAATGTTAATAAGCAGATGAACACACACACACATAATATAAAAAACTTTCACGATTTTGTGTTAAAATTTAGCAAGTGCCAGTTCAGATGTGAGTGGCACATTCAAGTCAAAATATATACATTCGCATTTTAGTTACATTTTAGGAGTTTCATTTTTGGTGTTATACTTTGTGGAAATTATTTTGTTTGGTGTCGTGAATGTGGTGGAATGTTTTTTTTTAAATTTATATCTTTTTGAATGAAACCATAAAAATGTACTCTTTTCATACATGTTTATGTAACAAACCTGCTCCAACATACAAAATATTTAAAAAAATTGAACACGGACACGCACAGCCAGACAAGAAGACACGCACGTACGAGCACACAAAACAAAGTTGTATGGTCGTAATGGTAGTAATTAGCCTAATATGTCGGAGATTTTGATGCGTAATTACAGCCTCATCATGCATCATGTTCTTTTTTTGAAAACAACGTACACAGACACAAACACATACACACACACACACACCAACACGTAACATAACAATGCTTACATACAAATAGTTAAATAAATTGCTAGTTATACAGACGTATACACACAAACTCAACAAACATACAAACTTATTATGTAAATAACAGAAAAAATATTTGTACGCATACACACAACACATGTATGTGCGTGCATGTGGGTGAAATTGTGAATGCAAATAACCAAACCTGACCACACATACATTATCGTCAACATTTGAAGCAGTGGTCAGTCAACGCAAGGTTGTCATGAAGACATTTCTGCCCGGTTCAAACGCAAGCTCACCTTCGTTCAGTCAGGCGTCCTCAGATAAGTTTTTCTATTTATTTTATTTTTATGTACTTTGAAAAAATTTTTTTTTCTGTTTGTATTTTTTATTTATTGTCGATAGACTTTTGTTAACACCTTTTGCTTTTGCTTACATTTTGACTTTTATAAATATATCTATCTACCAATGAACGCATCAAGCCACACACTCATACACACACACATTTACACACATACACACACACACACACACACAACAGTATGTATATATGTAATGTATAACTAAGTTGAACCAACAGTATGTATGTTAAAAATAACATGAAATTGTTGCTAAAACACTCTTATTATTATAATGTTTGATGTTCCAAAATTTCAAACGGTTAAAAAATTTGTGATAATATTTTTTCTGTAGTCGGCCATTCCATTCATATGTAAAATTTGAATGTAAGTGTTTGTATGTATGTATGTATGTATGTTAAAACCAAATCGTGATGAATGACAGCAAACAGTCAAACATCTGATTAAAAGGGTTAACACTTTAATGTATCGTTAGTCTCACACGTCGGCGTTTAAATTAATATTTTCCGACACACAAACACGCAGAAATCGCTGCAACAAACACGAGATGTGGTTTATTGCAAAAAAGAACTCTCTGCTGTCACCTGACCGAACACCAATCATTTTACACAATGTTTTAATAAATTTTGAAGTATTGGGGTCCATGGGTCCAAGGACCTCGATACATATTGGCAAAAAATCTAAGGAAGGCAGGGCGTGTTCATATTTTTTAATTTTTTCGTCCGATGCCCTGATTGCAGCCAAACCACATTCTTTGCTGGTAAGGTGAACGTAGCGCTCGGCCAAGGTACCAGGAACCGTAACATCCCAAGCCAAACATTTACCAGCTCTCCAGGGAATAAGAGTACAACCGTCTGGTCGCTTGCCATCTTGCACTGAAATGCCAGATGGTTCCTTCAAAACAGGAATAGAAGCTTTAGAAAAAAGCCGGCAAATGTAATCATTCAAAGCTGAATGACGAAGTTGACGGCCTCCACCTAAACGGCAAACCAAACCATGATGACCAAATTCGTCCGCCTCCGCGCCGCAACGACACAGATATTTATTTTGTATACTTAGGCCAAGTCTGAAACCAACGGCAAATCTAACAGACTCGTCACCGAGTCTGGTGCCTACGGAAGTGTTGGGCCACGACCTCAACCAACCACAACTAACATCACTAGTTGCAGCCAATAAGCGGGCGGAGGAAGAAGCACCGACACCAGAAGACAGAAGTTCATGAAAAGTCTTCTTATATTGCTCATCTAAAATTTGAGCTTGTGAAGGGCTTTCAGGTGTGGTCGGCAGAGGTGGGATGTCACAGCAACAACAAAATCGGCAAAGCAAGGCGGACTGGAGGTCAAGAGTGGCAGCGGCAGAAGATTTATAGACAATTGGTGCCAACTGAACCACACTGAGTAACCCCAGACCACCATACCGCACCGGCAGCTGAGCCTGGGACCAGCCACTGTCAGTCAAATGAACATTGCAAATGGCTGACAAGGCGGTACGCAAAACATCATCAAATCTGCCCAACAACGATGGGTTAATGTAGCTGGATGTACGAAGAAAATACATCATGTTGGGCAAACTGAGGGCGCTTCGGACAATAGTCAGGGCGTCGTGGGCGGAAAGATGAGACACTCGGTCGAGGGCGAACTTAAGTTCTGAAAACTTTTTATCAAAAAATTTAATTTGGGAGTCGCCCTCAAACAAGGGTGTGTCCAAAAGACTTAAATTTGATTTTTGAACGATGGGTACGTTCGCCAACACCGGTGGCAAATGTAGTGAATCTTTAAAATAGAGTTCACATTTATTGGTGTTTAACTCTAGCCCAATGGTGTTGGCTTCGTTTTTCAAAAACAATATGTGTGTATGTATGTATGTGTGTGTTGTGTGTGTGTGTATTGTGATTGTGTGTGTATATAAGCTGCTCCAGAGTTTTTAATTTAAAATCTGTCCAGCTTTTACACGTTTAACTTTTCTTCTCCGTTAATAATTTAAATTTTGATCAGATCGGCAAATATTTCACAGCCATTTTTGTCTCCAAGCAACTTCCAAAAAGCTTCCTCTAACTTTTAAAAAGGTCAACAATTCTAGATGTGTCAATTAACTGAAGACCAACAGATCTAGAACAAATTTGTTGCATTCTCTTGTTCTTTCTAGAGGACTAAGGATTTGTAATGACATTTAGGAAATGATTTATTCTGCAATGGAACATTCCTTGCTATGCCAAAAAGAGTTTAAAATTGTTTTTGGTAACTTTTAATGATAGAAATGTGTGAAAAAAGAAATTCTGCTTTAATAAATTCAAATTTTTATAACTTTCTGTTTGACGTGCGTTAATTTGTGCACTTTTGGATTCATGTGGCTCTGGTAGATGAGCTCTCTATGAGCTTCGTCACAGTCATCCTGGATTCATTTTTTTTAGAGTCAATAAAAGATCTTACCGTATCGTATCATATTTTTTGTTAGCCTGTTTGGTGTCAGAATACTGAGGCACGTGCTTATATTCAGTGTTGATGTTGATTTGTAGAGCTGGTAGGATGTCTTAATGTGCAATTCTTTCAATATGACGTGGTTTGAAGACGTTTGAATAAAAAATATGAGAAAGCATGTGTGTTTGTCAAACAACAACAAACAAACCAACAGACAAACTGACAAACAAACAAACAAAAAACAACAACAAAGCAAAAGAAAAGAAAAACGTCCAAAAAAACAACAAAAACGATGATGACGATGGTTTCTTAAAGCAGAATTTTTTTCATAAAATGGAAATGATGATGAAGATGTCGGTCTGTAAAGAAAGAGAAGAACTCTCGGAAGGCTTGCTGCATGATTGACTGGCATTTTAATGATTATTTACAGCATTCATTCACCGAGTACATTTCTCTTTCCGCGTTTGCTTGTTTGTGCTTTGAATGAACAATAGAAAAATGTATTTTAATCTTAAAAATTTGTATTTCATCATATCTTCTTTATTAAATAATTTTTTAAAATTGAATCAAATATTTTATCAATATGAAATATTTCAAAGATTTCAGGCATGGCATTGCGAATATTCCAAATTCATCAAATTCACAATGAAAAGAAAGAAAAAAATTGAAACAAGATGACGAATCTGTGACATTGATCAACAACAGTCAATATCATGGCGCTCAGATGTCAAATAATATTCATCCCACTTTTAGTCACTATTATCATCACCACCATCGTCATAACCACTATTATCTACATCGCTAATATGGTCGTCAGCATCATCATCAACATCCTCATCATCATCGTAAACATCCTCATCAACATCCTCCTCCTCCTCATCATTATCATCATCATTGTCAACATCATTACCAAAATCATATTCGCAAAGTGTGGATTACGTTGAAAAAAATTGAAAACTCATTCTTGTTGATGGCCGCATCGAATACGCACAACGTCGCATCACACGCAAATCTTTATTTTCAGTTGCTTGGTCACGTGCTTCTTCATGCAATGTGCACACGCATACACGCACGCACACGCAAACATGTATAAATATAAATAATCTTTTTCTTAACCTCAGCCTTAGAATTTTTTATTTGTCTGTATTTTATTTTCAACCCTTATTTAAAACCATGGAATATTTTTGAAGAAGAATTGAAAATTAAAACAATTAACGAAATTGGTCAGGATACTGTGAAGATATTCAGGAGCATAAAAAGTAGCAAATCCATCCTGTGTACATCACTCATAAAAACCAACCACTGCCATAAACGCAACGTAAAACACACGCAAAACGCTAACAGTATATAAAATTTTATGATTTTATGCAATATTCTCAACGTACACAGTTTCTGAATATACAATTTTGGGATTCAAATTTTTTTTTTATAAAAGTGCCAAATGAAAAAATTTTAAATGAAAAATAATTATTAAAATTAAAAAAATGGTTAATGATATAAGATGGAAAATTATCAAACCTAACAATGAAGCTGAGAAGTTTTTTTAACAAACGGTACAAAAGAAAGTCGTAAAGAAACTTGAATAAAGCAGAAAGAAAAAACAAAGATATAGTCCGTGACACGTAAGATATTAAGACATCTGCAAGGGAGGATGTTGTGTGAAACACGTTGTGTTGATGTCATGTTCATTTCATTTCGATGCTCGTACTCGCTCGCTTGCTTAGCATGGCAGTAAACATTTCATTCTCATCGAAGGATGAACATTTGCTGTTAACTCTTCATGTTCCTCTACCACTACTTACAACCATTACTACTACTGCTGCTACATAGCGCACGCACACACGTACATACTGCACTGTATTTTTAGGGCTGTGTGTCTGTCTGCTTGCTTGTTCGCTTGTACATGTTTTATGTGGTTTTTGCAGACGGGAATCATTTACTTTTCAAAATTGAAAGTCGAAATTATTTATAGAGAATGAAAATTCTAATAAAAACAGCATTGCTAGTATTTGATTATTTCATTCAAGCATGTTGTTTTCGACGTGGTGTTTCGTATTTTGTTGCACATGAGCAGTGGTGGATCTGGGTGGGAGGCGAGGTGAGTATCGTTGAGAGCAGTATTTTTGTTTAAATTCAGTAGAAATCAGTTTTATATAGAAAACAAAATTTACCAAAATTAACAAGATTAGTAAAACGAAAAGATAGCCAGCTTACTTTGGCAAAGCTAGAATAAATTTAAGTAGTTTTTTGCCCCCTCATAAAATTAAAAAAAATTCAACATTGCACAATTTTGTACAAACCCCCATGCACTTACACGTTGCTGGCACATGCGTTTCATATACGTACTGCTGTCATATAAGTTGCAAACATGTTGCTGGATGTTGTTGAGAGATAGGAAAGTGAACATTCTTCTTGGTGCACGTAACAGTCGGCACGATTTAATGCTGTCAGTTGTACATAATTCATTGCGTGAACACACAATAATGTACTGCACACCGTTTAACGGAGTGTGGGCAGATGTGTGCGTTGCGTGCAAACAACTGCGTACGCACTTTTTTGGTTGTTGTTTTTTGTTACATTTTGTTATTGCCAGTTACAGCAGAATTTTATTGTTGGCTGCTTTTAATAAAATCGACCTTTTTTTTAGAAAATTTATAAAAATGATTTTTCTTCTGTTCTTCTGAATAAGTTACGTAAATATTATTAATGACAGGTAAATTTCGTTTTTTCTTTGTATTGTTATTGACACTGTTGACATTATTTAAGATAATATAATAGCTTTATTGTTGTTGTTTCGTAATTTAGTTGCTGTTATTGTTGGTTTCCATATTTACAATTTCGTACATGTAGATAAATGACGATATTAATAAAGTTATTGTTGCCGTTACGGTTGCCGGCGTAATTAGCTTTGTTGTGAAGATCATTGTTGTGGTTGTTGTTGTATTGGTTAATGTTGTTGCCGGTGTTGTGGTTGTAAAATCTTATGTTAGTTTTAATGAGCTGACAATTGAAGGCGTGTAATATTTTATTAGCATGAGTTATTGTGCTTGTGGTAATGCGGGCAAGGAAAGCAGGTTTTATGTCAAGTTTGATGAGGATGATGATGACGAGGATGATGATGACGACGATGATGATGGCGGTGAGAATTATGTTGATGATGATATTAATAGTGATGTAAATAAAGATGATAATGATGATGATAATATAATAAATAGTTTTGGGTTAGTGATATTAACATATTTGAAAATTAAAAATTTTATGATTAATTAATCACCAGACATATTATTTGAGTAAAAAATGACGTAATTGATTAAAATGAGTACAAATTTAATTGAAATTACAGAATTTTTAAACATGCCGAAAACGAAAAAATGATTAGATAAAAAGATTATTTTCATTTTTAACATTTAGGAAAATAAAATGCGTGAAAACTTGTAGTTTTAGCTAACCAAGAGTGAGAAACTGACAGATGCTTTGAAAATAAAGACACAGAGACGTAAGTTAGCACAGGAAAAATGTAAATTCTAACAGTTTTAATTTTGCTGATATTCTGATTTTACTGTTTGCAAGGATGTTCTTCATTTTAGAACATGCATCTTTCGCCATAGCTATCCTTATTGTGATATCCATACCACATTTACAATCCGAGGTGATCAGACTTCCGAGATAATTAAAGCTGTTGACTTGTTTCACCTGTTTACCATTAATGATTATGAAGCAGATCGGGGTGGTTTTTCTTTTACTGATAACAATACGCTCTGTTTTGTTTATATTAATTTGCAAGCCTTTCCTTTCACTTTCAAAAACCAGTTTGGAAACAATTGTTTGCAATTTTTTCATTGAATCTGCTATAAGAGCTGTGTCATCAGCTTATCTGACATAGTTAATAATCACGTCTTCAATGATTGATATTTGAGGCAGATCTTCTATCTTTCTCATGATGATCTCACTATAGAGATTGTACAGGTCTGGAGAGAATACACAGCTATGCCTAACACCTTTCTCTATTTTGACAAAACTAGTCATCTATTTACCAACTTTCATCACTGCTCTTTGTTCCTAAAAGAGGTTTTTGATAACTCTCGTGTCTTTTTCATTAATGTCCAAATTTTCCAATGTTTTCATAAGTTCCACGTGTTTTCACGCTATCAAAAGCATTGGAGTAATCGACAAAACATATATGCAAGTCTTCCTTCATTTCAATCGCTCGTTCACTGATAAGCATACAAATAGATAAATGAAATAAATGATAAGAAAATAATTTTTTTTAAATTATCCTTCTAAAATAGCTTACACACTAAGTGGTTTTTAGTGTTATTTCATTTATATTTAATTGCATTTTTAAAATATGAATTTGGATTTTATTTAAAACGCCTACCTGAAAAATGTCTTATAGAACAAAAATAACTATTGTAGTTTTTTAAATTCAGTAAAAAATAATTAATACAAAATCAGTATTTGGTTAACTATAAAATATTTTTAATTATTTTTTTTTTAAGAAAAACAAAATTAAATTAAATGAACTGGTGAAAAAAATTAATGAATGAAATTTTTTTTTAATGTTTAAAGCCCACGACATTTTTGTTTTTCGTAAACGCTTTTTGTTTTAGTGGCTTATTTTAAGTAAAAGTAGTAGCCACAGCAGCCACAGCAGCAGCAGTCGTAGCGGCAAAAGTAGTGGCATCATTAGTGTTAACCCGAATATTTTTTAGGTCCAAATATTTTTAGATCTTTCATTCATTATCACGCATTGAAATGGTAAGTTCTTCGATGAACACAAATAACAAATAATTTCAGGACTCCGTTATGAATATTAAATTTTTTTTATTTTCTAGAACTTTCAGTTAAAAATATTTTTTTTTGTTTTTCATGGTTAATTTAGGGTGATAGACAACTTTTTTTTACAAATTTGCAAATATTGTAACCTTTGTAAACTTGCAGAATGCCGTTTCAGAAAAAGAAAATTGATAAAAACGTGGTTCATTGAGCGTTTGGTTTCAAATCAACCCTAGCCTAGAAACAGTAATAATAATTTTCAATTATTATTCTTTATTTGAAAGAATTCTTTCAAAGTTTAATTAACTTTTAAACATAGATGGCGTGTTTTGACAAAAAAAGCAGTACAAAAAATTTAATTTAGTTTGTCAATGAAATGTCATAGCGTCAATTTTTACTTTCATTTTCTCAAATAATCAAATCACAATTTTTCGTTAATTTGAAAGACATCTTCCTTGTTTAACATTTCAACAATCCTTACTCACACTTTCACATACTGTCAATCAATCAATCAATCAATCTGTAACTGTTAGCTATTTATTACAATTTCTCAAATAAATTATTTGAATTATTTCTGTTTTAAAACCATATTTTAAACAGTTTATACTTTTTTGCTAAAAACTTTCAAAAAACCTCTTTATTAGAAATTCGTTAGCATGAACAATTTATTACTGCACACAAATTGTTATTCAGAAAAGCAGAATGTATTTCTAATTTTTCAAACACATCATTCAATTCGCGTTGGTAATTAGCGCCAAATTGTGATAAATTAACTTACTGCCATAATTTGCAGGTGCTCTCTGCTGTTTTGTTTGTTTTTTCAACGTCCGCAAATTAACTTTCGCCGAAAGCTCTGCTGTGTTTTCATTGTTGTTGCTGTCTAGCAAGCACGGAGATGGGACGTAATTGATTGTATTTCGTGCTTCAGATGTGTCAATTTATATTCATTAATTTGAAAATGTTCAACTTTGGAACAATTTTAAGCTACGTGGCCAGCACACTTTTCTGTAGAAATAAAATTTTTAAATTTCCTGTTTTTAAAGTTTCCGAAATAAAAAAATTCAACTAAATAAAATAAAAAAAAAATCTTTTTAAATGAGATAACAAAAAATAGTGCATTAATGAACTAAAGAGAAAAACTTTATTTAAAAATTAATATAAAATAATTTCATTTTAAGAATATATATTATGTCCTCCGAGAAATAATGAAAATGAATTGTGAAACTGCAAATAATTTAAACACATTACCTGTGAAACAATAATAAAACATAACGCTTACTATGAACTATATTGTGTGAATTGAGGTAGAAAAATTTAATAATTTTCAACTGCTCATAAAATTTATTGTCCAGCCTGTCTTGAAACAACTTTGAAGATTTCTATAACTATAATTGATTTGTTGTTGATGTTGTTCTTGACATCGTTGTTGTCGTTGATGTTGTTGTTGATAATGTAGCTGTTGTAAAAAAAAGTGAAAATATAATGTTTGATTATTATTTTAGACATTTCAATCTATAACTGTCACTATTTTGTTTGTTTTTCAATTCAATATTTTAAAAAGTTGTCTGATTTGTAAAAATGTTTGTCTGTATGGTTTAATTTCATGTTGTTATGTGTGTTGGTGTAGTTGTTTACAAATATTTGTTGTTTCGTTATATTTCGGTAAAGTTGCTGATGTCGTTGTTTTTAAAATTATTTTTATTGACGTTGTTGTTGATGCTGTTGCCTGCAATAAAATTGTAGCTGTTGATGTTGTTGTATTTAACAACATCAACACGAATCGGCATAACCACAAAAACAACAACATTGGAACAAAATAAACATCTGATAGTTACATGATGTCAAGATGATAATATTGTTTACAAAGTTGTTTTCAGTCTGTTGATGCCACTATATACAAGAATATCGTTGCGATGTTCAAAAATCTGCCTTCTTTGGTCTATGTCGTTGTTTTGGGTTGTTTTAATTATTTACTGTAATGTTGTTGTCGTTGTTGTGTGTTGTTGATGATGTTATTTTTGCTGTTGTCGTTGATTGAATCTCGTGATCAGTGAAGCATTGGTTCGACCGGCATATATTTGTCACATATTATGAGCCGTTTCAATTAGTTTTGTTTGAATAACTACCTAGAATGACAAATCATTGTGGGACTACGACGTTGTTGTTATTGTTGTTGCTATGTTAATGACGTGATGCTGACGTCATCTTGACGTCATGTAACTATTATTTTGTATCTATGTTGTTGTTTTTGTGTTTATGATGATTGGTGTTGCTGTTGTATTGTTAATACGTATGTTGCACACATGTTTGTTTTCCTGTATCAAACGTGTGGTGATACTGTTGTTGTTTTTTTGTTGTTTTACCGTTGTTTTATTGTTGCTGTTGAAAAATGAAATGAAAAGTTTTTAAATTGTTGTTGTTATATTGCTATGTCTATGTTGTTGATATTTTTTATTTTGTTATAATTAATTGTCATGTCATTAATAATTTGTCATTGTTTTGTTTTGTGTTTTTCCAATTTGTGTGTTTTATATCAGTGTAATGCATGTAGGTAATGTGATTGCTTGTTGCATGTTGCATTGTTCAATTTGATGTGCAGTCTCATGTTTCAAGTACTTTTTGTCGGTTTGTTACGCTGGTTTGTTGTTTGGCTGAAAGGCCGGTTGTTGTTGGCATGCAGTTGTCGTTGT